TTCAGCTCCCAGAGAAGTCCTTAGTGTGGGGCCCTGCTTGTAACTTGGAAGCCATGGTGGAGACAGACTGTTGTAGCTCAGGGAGTTTAGAAGTGGAAGGGAAATAAGATTGTCTATTCGCAATGTTTTAATGAGAAAAACTGAAATCCAAAAAACAAATCCTGATGGTGGCACAACTTTGACTCTCTCAAGTCTCCAGACTCCACCTGGCCGGGGAGGACTTCATCCCTCTGGAAACCTTGGTCTTACTGCATCTGACTCGTTCCCGATGGAGAAGCAAAACAACATTTGACTCCGGCAGAGTGCTGTTCCCCAGACTGTCCCAGTCATGTCACGTGCATATGCTGGCTGGGATACAGCAGGAAAAAAGAAGTGGTGATTTGAAGAATAACGCTACCCTTAAATAGTTTTCTCTGAGGATTTTAATTTTTCTTTAAACTGGATCAAAGAAACAGCCTTTCATTACCTATTACGTTGGTAACCGAAGGAATATCTGGGATGATTCATGACGGCCAGCGTCACAAGAGCCTTTAACAGTGTTTAGTGAGTGACTTTCTCACTCTTTGAACTGACTTAAGCCCCAGACACCTTCTTCACTGTCAGATGGTCTTGTTTCCTTCTTGGGATATCTGGTAGTCAGTCCTACAAATCCAGTGACAGCTGCCACAGCCTCCCCTTCATCCTTCCAGGGGCAGTGGAAGAGGTGCCTCTGCACTCCCCAAAGCCAACCCTTTCATCTGTCCTCAAATCAGACCCCCCCCCCCCCCGCCCCATCTTCTCAGAGAAAACGCCAGCTCAGTTACCTTCGTTCTCACCATGGTTTTCTCCTCTGGATTTTGTCCATTAACACTTTACAAGTTTAATCTTAACAGACAAAAACAAAATCAAAATCAAAAAGCATCTCTCAGTACCACACCCAGTTCCACCCACAACCCTGTTCAGGTTTCCACTTTCAGAGAAGCTAAATAGTTGCTTTTTCCTGGAAAATCTGCAACAGCTTTTTTAACAACTTTTTTCTCTGTATCTAACTGACCTAACCAGTTCTCACTGTAGCCAAAGTGATTTTGGAAAACAATCATGTCACCATTCACTAAAATGTCGAAGGCTTGTTAGCATTCTTTGGATAAAGACCAAAACTCATGGTGTGGCTTACAGGACAGCTACACTGCCTGTCTTTGCTGCTTCTCCAGCCTTGTCTTGTGCAACTCTCCCCGAAGCCTCTTGTTGTCTAAGACAGCTGGTCTACCTTGCATCTTGAAACATGCTTCCTCTGACAGCAGACACTGGGCTAATTGTCTTTCTGGCAATCAACCTTCTGCTCCTCCTTTCCACCTCATTAATATTTTCATATTCTTCAGATCTCAGTTTAAATGTTCTTTCCTCTAGGAACACCTCTATGATTCTGTGACATAGTTTAGAATCCCTTGTAATATTCTTTCTTAATTTTAATTCCTTCATTAGTTCCAGAATTTTATTTATTATATTCCTAGTGCCTAGGACTATCTTGACATATAATTAACAGTTACAAATATTTTCTCATAAATAAATGATGGTGTTATTTTAATGTGTACATCAAACACTTCCTTTCCTCAGAAGCATCTTGCTGCATATTAAGCTAATTGTCCTTATTAATCTTACCTCATGTGTTCTAATAACCTTTCTCATTCAATTCATGATCAAGTACGTGATATGTGCCACAAAGAGGAGATTCAGGAATTCACAGGCATAGTCTTTACCCTCAATTTGTATATAACTCAATATGGCAAACAGGTAGGGACACATAAAAACTTTGATCAGTTCATCCCAAGCTTACTGAGTGTCCATTAAGAACCGAGATTTCAAGGCCTGAAAAGTGCAGCAGTGAATGGTCCTTTGTAGAGTTTATTATCTAGTGGCCAAACATCTGTCCTTTGTAGAGTTTATTAGCTAGGGGTCTAACATGGGGTACAATTCTGGGCCTGCAATCTGAAAGTCATTGACACCTTAGAATTGTGATTTTATCCTGAAATTTAATCACTGCAGTGACCTCTTGGGTTACATATTACAGAAAGATGACACTAGTAACAAGAAGGAAGGATTGTAGCCATCACATTCAAAGGTCATTGGAAAAGGATCCCAAAATTTGAGACCAGAGTGATCAAGGCCTAGAATAGCATAGAGGCAATGAGAATAAAAGTTAAAGCATAGAACTGAGGAAGAGAATTAACTTCCTAAATCTGATCAATACAGAAAAGAGGAAATTCAAAAATAATGTTTTGAATTTGAAAGAAGAGTTAAATTGTAAGTAACCCATCCCCATGAAAATCAAGCACATAGCCAGACTACACAGGCCAACCTCTCCGCACTTAGGTGGGGCAATGTGACGGGAGGATGGTAAAGAAATGCAAATGAAAACCCTGAGCACCAGTCCCAGCTTTGACCCACCAAAACCTGCATCAGTCTACCCTGCATCTCTTCCCCATCTTCCAGGTGTGGGGTCACAGGGTAACGAGGGAAGAACTTTAGCTTGGAGCCCCAGAAACAGAACCCACATTCCCTTGTAACGTATGGCTTCACATTAATAATAATTTAAAAAGCACATATTGTGCTAAACCACCAAGCTTTGGGATTTACTGAGCAGTCGGGTTGAATTTAACTACAATGATAATCTCAGTTGCCAAAGATAAGAGATTCAGAATTGATGCAGAGGTAAAGATAAAGTGCTCAAAGTAGGACAATTTTAGTCTGAGATTCTTTTGACTTATCTAAGCAGTTGCAAATAGTGGTCCAGAGATTAGCAGAGACCTAGAGACACCGATATGCAAAGTTTGTAGAATCCGAACTACTGGTCAGTAGCTTGTATTCCAGAAACTTGCAAAGTCCTGGTCAATCACTGCTTGTTGAAGCAGTGGGGTAGGGAACACCCACATTTAAAAGGGGGAGAAAATAGGGTACTCAAATTCCTCTATCTTTATTACTGTATAAAATAGACCACAATGTGCAGTATCAGAATTCTCAGGACTGCTTATCCTAGTTGAACTGGTCATTTGGTAAACTGTTACTATCTCCCTCTGCTATTAAAACTTTGAGTTCAACAAGCTCATTTAAAGCTTTTCTTCCCACACTGAGAACTCTAAAATTCAATAAAACCATTCTCACTACAAAAAATGCAAAAATTCATCTAAATTTTGGGCTGACATTTTAAAATCTGCAAGTCATTCCAGATACGTTCTCTGATAACATTTATGATCTCTTTGGCAATGATATTGCCTTGCCTGTACTACCAACCTTGTACTTTTTGATCCCCCCTGAAGTGATTCTCATATGCATTATTCATTTGATGGCCCAGGCATGCCCATAAGATTGGTTAATGCAGGTGGGGCTCCAGCCATGCTGACAGAACTATCAAAAAGTGGGGGCATTTATCGTAGCATGGGCTCACATCAACTAGAAGCATGTCCCGGGAGGCAGCAGAACTGTGCTCACAGGGCATCCACAAGACAAACACACTCACTTAAAAGCACTGCTTCAGGCTCAGAGGTCAGCCATTTATCATGGGCCTGCAGTCTGCACGTCCCACAAGTCTCTCTAACGTGACATCAAGGGACATCTTGCTTCCTGACTCAGAATTTGAATCACTGAAAATGATCTCTGAAATAGAGAAAGTGAAAAAGAGAGCATCCTGATGAAGAGTGCAACATTTATACGATAGCTGCTCCGTCCTTTGTCTAAGTGGCTCTACAGGGTTTTAAAATATCCTGAATAATGAACCCCTTACAGGTAAGATTATGGTTATGCATTCAGATGCCTAGGAGAGTAGCTATAATCTTCTTGATTTAAATTGTTTTCTAAAAGAATTGGAAGGAAAAAATCAAAAAATCTGCATAGCCAGTTGAGTTCTCCTAAAATTCCATCTTGCTTAGTGTACCTCCTTCTCTAGTTGCTTCCAAATAATATTGTAAAATGGCCAAATTTCTATACAGTTAATTTTATGAGTCAGCTTGGCAAGACTATGGTGATGAGTTGTACAACTCTATCCTGTGTGCTTCTGTAAAAGTATTTTTAAATGTGATGAAAACTTCAAATGCAATGATTTTAAGTAAAGCACATAACCCCCCTAAAGTACATGGGCCATGTTCAATCAGGTGAAGCCTTCAAGAGGGGAAATGGAGGTTTCTCAAAGAACCCAGAAAGTCTGTTTGAGTTTTAGCCTTTGCACTCAGGTCTGCAACATTAAGTCTTACCTGAACTATCTGCAGTCAGCCAGCTTGCCCTATAGATTTTTGCCTTGCAAAGCCTCACAATTGAAAAAGTACCCTGGGGAGAGGGATATAGTGGCACAGTACTTGCCTGGCAAGAATGAAATCCTGAGCTCGATTCCTGGTACTCACAAAAAAATAAGTAAATCAACAAAGTTCTACACCACCCCTATCCCCTTAAAAAAAGTACCCTTCCTCTCTTTGATTCCCTCCCCTCTCTATATATATATTTCCACTTCTAGAGAGAGAAGTTATGCAAGAAAAACAAAAGCCATGAAGGCAAATGAACTGAAAATAAAGCCAAAAAGTTTATCTGTATTTTTGCAAATAGCATATTGAAAAGTCAAAAAAATATACCCACACCCAAACATGAATGCATATACACACAGATGCAGTTAGTGCCTATACTTAAGCAACAAAGTTGTAGGTTATAAGGTCAACATGAAAAAATCAATTGCATTTCTATACATCAGAAATCGAAGAGAAAAATAAACTAAGGAGAGAAATTTTTCTTTATAACAACATTCAAACATAAAATTCATAGGAATAAATTTAAGAATGAGCATGATACAATATAAACCAAAAAGTAATACTGAAAGAAGCTCAGGACACTCTAAAAATGGAAAGCTATTCTGTGTTCTAGACTAGAACAATCAATTTTGTTAAGACGACCCTTCAAAGTAATCTACAAATCCAGTTTAATTCCTGTAAAACTTCCCGTGTTCTTTTATGCAGAAATGCAAAAGCCGCTGCCCTGCAGATGGAGTAATGGACCTACCAGCATCATGGGCACAGCCACTCCTCTGTTTCTGTGACTTTAGGGCAAAGAGCAACCAGCTATTTCTATGCTCAGTGTTTGGGGACCAGTGAGCACTGAGAATGGATTATAGCCTGACATTCCGGGAAAAAAAAAAAAAAAAGAAATGCAAAAGCCCTTCCTCAAGTGTTGGGAGCCGCGGCCGAGCCCGGTCGCCTTACTTGGCGGACGTGAGGCCTGTAGGAAAGAGCAAAGCCTGAGCTAGATTACCCCTCCCATCGAGTGTGCTAAGATGGCGCTTATTTCCTGCTTGGTAAACAACCCGCCCTGTAAGATCTCCTGCTTCCTGCTTGGTAAACAACCCGCCCTGTAAGATCTCCTGCTTCCTGCTTGGTAACAACCCGCCCTGTAAGATCTCCTGCTTCACAACCCGCGCTGTAAGATAGTCTGCCTAGCAACAACTGATGTTAGCCAATCAGCCCGCATCGCGCGCTTTGAACTGATTGGCCACTGTAACCCTATAAAAGTGAGTGCCTCTCCCGCCACGAAAAAAGAAGCAGAAGAAGCACGCAAGGAGCCGCGGAGAGCGGACCGGTAGAGGCTTCGGGACAGACTGTAGGGAGAAGCACGCAAGGAGCCGCGGAGAGCAGACCGGTAGAGGCTTCGGGACAGACTGTAGGGAGAAGCACGCAAGGAGCCGCGGGGAGCGGACCAACAGAGGCTTCGGCCGGGAGGATTCCCGGGGCAGGCTGTACGGAGAAGGAAAATAAAAGAAAAGGTTGTCCACTGCCAGACTTTGTTGTGTGTCCTTCCTGCCGGCCGGGAGTGACACCGACATCTGGTGGCCCGTACGGGGAGCTGATCACCCCCGAGACGTGGCAGTGGACAACGCTCCAACGCAGAGCTGCAAGACAGGTGAGTAGAGGATAAACCTGGGCCCTGGGTGGCGTGCACCTACAGGGTTTGTAGACTCCTCTCAGGCTCACGCGTAAGTGGCGGATTCCTTGGGCCTCACGCGGTGAGTAACATATTAAAAAATGGGAAACATGCTAGGTAGCGGCACTAAGAGTGAGGGTGGTTGCGGGGAAAGCTCTCAAGAGCTTACAAAAGTACGCAGGGTATTTGAGCAGGCCCAGTCAGGGAGCTCCCGAGAGGGGTCCGTCAAGGGAAACAAAGATGCTAAGGAGGAGGACGGGGCTCAAGCCTCGGAGTCGTCTGACTCCGAGGACGAGGGAAGGTTGAATGGTGAGGAGGCCAAAGAGACCAGCTGTCAGGGGCCTAAGTCGCTTGATGGGGAGATGCAAGGCTCTTTCGCTGCGTTGCGCCGCGAATTGCGCTCCGCTCAGCTAGGCTTACGAAAAAGCAGAGAGCTTCTGAGCGCCCCCTGGCAGGGGAGGGAGACAGAACCTTCTGCTCCGCCCTGGAACTCGTTCCCGGAAGCGGTCCCTCGCCACGATGCCGCCGCATGGGAACTCCCCCCTCTTCCGTCAGTACAGGAAATAACGCACAGGCCACCATTTTCTGTTCAGCCACGGCCGCCATCTTACGATGCTCCGCCACCGGCGGGACGTTATTTCCACAGACAGCTGTGGCATGGGGGTCGTGTGTCTAATGAAGACCACCCGTTCCCAGGGATAGATAGCGGCCCCTATGGGATATATCCTGTACAGATGGCCATGGGTCAGGGACGTAATGTGTGGGAACCCTTTGAAATAAAGCAGATTAGAGAACTTAAAAATGCAGTTACAACCTTTGGGCCGACTGCGCCTTACACCATTGCCATGCTGGAGAACCTGTCTTCTGGGCCCCTCACCCCCGCGGACTGGACTCAGCTGGCAAAGGCGTGTCTGCCCTCGGGTAGTTACCTGGATTGGCGAGCCTGGTACGCCGAGTTCGCTGCCGAACAGGCGGAAAGAAATGCTAACCGAGGGAACCGGGGGTGGAATAGAGACATGCTTATGGGGGAAGGCCAACACGCTGATAATCAGACTCAGTTCCCTGGTGCAGTTTATGAGCAGATCAATACCATTGGGCTTCGCGCCTGGAAGCAGGTGAGTGGTGCCGGAACGGCATCCTTGTGCCTTTCTAAAATAGTCCAGGGCACAACAGAGCCATTCGTTGATTTTGTGGCTCGGATATAGACAATCAATACCCTAAAGACCCTATCTTGTCATTTGTTACTCAGCACTCTGTAATTTTTCCAAAGGTTACTGCCTCTGAGCCAGTAGTCCCAGCAACTACAATATATACAGATGGCTCCAAGACGGGGATAGGCGCCTATGTGATCCTAGACAAGCCCCCGGTTACCATACAATTTGAACCAGATCAGCCTCAGGTGGTGGAACTGCAGATCGTTAAAATGATTCTTGAAAGGTTCTCAGGACCCATTAACATTGTCTCCGATTCTAGCTATGTGGTCAATGCTATGCAAGTGCTTGAGACTGCCGGTTTAATTAGATCCACTTCCACAGTGGCTGAGCTGTTCCTGTCTATCCAGACATTGCTTCAGAACAGACACCATAAGGTCTTCACCACCCACATAAGAGCACATACATCCCTGCCAGGGCCTATGGCACAGGGGAATGCGGCTGCTGACACTGCCACTCGCCCGTTATGGATTTTTACCTTACTAACACCAATCGAGCGAGCCCGTGCCTTCCATGATAAGTTTCATGTCAATGCCAGGACACTAGCAAACCATTTCCATGTTCCCAGAGCAGATGCACGAGATATCGTGCGACTATGTGACTCCTGTGCCACATACAAACCTGCCATACTGATGGGAGTAAACCCTCGAGGTTTGATCCCTGGTGATGTTTGGCAGATGGACATCACACATATACAGGAATTTGGGACTCTTAAATATGTTCATGTTTCCACAGACACCTGTTCTCACGTCATATTTGCAACAGCAGAAACAGGTGAAAAAGTGTCTAATGTGATCAGTCATTGCCTGGCGGCTTGGGCCGCATGGGGCAAACCAAAAATATTAAAAACTGATTATGGACCAGCCTATATAGGCAAAGCCTTCAATGAGTTCTGCAAAATGATGGAGGTTCAATTAAAACATGGTATCCCATACAATCCCCAAGGTCAAGGAATCATTGAGAGGGCTCATAGAAGCCTCAAAGAAATTTTACAAAAACAAAAAGGGGGAGTAGGCCAAGGCCTGGCCCCAAAGGCACGATTATCCATGGCACTATTCACACACAATTTTTTAAATTTAAATAATGATAATTGCTCCCCAGCTATGGAGCACTGCAACCCTTCCCCCAACCATAAAGGGTGGGTTAAATGGAAAGATGTCCTAACAGGACAATGGATGGGCCCGGATCCGGTGGTTAGCTGGAACCGAGGTGCGGTTTGTGTTTTCCCACAGGAACCGGGACGAGAACCACTGTGGGTACCGGAGAGACTGACACGGGCAACAAAGCCCTCGACTGAAGATCAGACCTGCCCTACTGGAGATCCATCACAGACCAACCAACAAGATGAATAGAAATAGCGGTAGCCCAAAATGGACAAAAAGATCCTCAGGCATATGCATGGCTCGCTCGCCTAGCCTACGACCGAGTCTAGGGGCGGTGAGCTTCCCACACTCCTCCTCTAAAAAATTATGACATAGCTGGGTAGGAGAGTCAATGACGGGTAAGAGCGTACTCCCCCGGTGCGACTCAACCTAAGCCAGGCCCTACCCCATCCTGCACGTAAGCCGCTGGACTGTTAGATGCTGCCCAGGTCTAAATTTCTCTCCGAGGGGATTTCTTTACGGAGAGGAAATGAGTGCAAGCTTGTGTGCATCCAGGTTCCGTCCAGTTTGTGCCTGGCCCTAGAAAAAGGACGAGGGCCTCAGGGCCTTGGCAGACCATGGCACGGCCGACCAGGGTCTAAGCCAAGGACCTACGGTGGGCCTACGCATAGGGCATAAGCCTCTGCACCCAGTCCAGGAAGGGCTACGATGCGCACATTCATAAAAAATAAAAAAGGGGGAGATGTTGGGAGCCGCGGCCGAGCCCGGTCGCCTTACTTGGCGGACGTGAGGCCTGTAGGAAAGAGCAAAGCCTGAGCTAGATTACCCCTCCCATCGAGTGTGCTAAGATGGCGCTTATTTCCTGCTTGGTAAACAACCCGCCCTGTAAGATCTCCTGCTTCCTGCTTGGTAAACAACCCGCCCTGTAAGATCTCCTGCTTCCTGCTTGGTAACAACCCGCCCTGTAAGATCTCCTGCTTCACAACCCGCGCTGTAAGATAGTCTGCCTAGCAACAACTGATGTTAGCCAATCAGCCCGCATCGCGCGCTTTGAACTGATTGGCCACTGTAACCCTATAAAAGTGAGTGCCTCTCCCGCCACGAAAAAAGAAGCAGAAGAAGCACGCAAGGAGCCGCGGAGAGCGGACCGGTAGAGGCTTCGGGACAGACTGTAGGGAGAAGCACGCAAGGAGCCGCGGAGAGCAGACCGGTAGAGGCTTCGGGACAGACTGTAGGGAGAAGCACGCAAGGAGCCGCGGGGAGCGGACCAACAGAGGCTTCGGCCGGGAGGATTCCCGGGGCAGGCTGTACGGAGAAGGAAAATAAAAGAAAAGGTTGTCCACTGCCAGACTTTGTTGTGTGTCCTTCCTGCCGGCCGGGAGTGACACCGACATCTGGTGGCCCGTACGGGGAGCTGATCACCCCCGAGACGTGGCAGTGGACAACGCTCCAACGCAGAGCTGCAAGACAGGTGAGTAGAGGATAAACCTGGGCCCTGGGTGGCGTGCACCTACAGGGTTTGTAGACTCCTCTCAGGCTCACGCGTAAGTGGCGGATTCCTTGGGCCTCACGCGGTGAGTAACATATTAAAAAATGGGAAACATGCTAGGTAGCGGCACTAAGAGTGAGGGTGGTTGCGGGGAAAGCTCTCAAGAGCTTACAAAAGTACGCAGGGTATTTGAGCAGGCCCAGTCAGGGAGCTCCCGAGAGGGGTCCGTCAAGGGAAACAAAGATGCTAAGGAGGAGGACGGGGCTCAAGCCTCGGAGTCGTCTGACTCCGAGGACGAGGGAAGGTTGAATGGTGAGGAGGCCAAAGAGACCAGCTGTCAGGGGCCTAAGTCGCTTGATGGGGAGATGCAAGGCTCTTTCGCTGCGTTGCGCCGCGAATTGCGC